CTTTTTTTTTTTTATTCTTTTTTATTTTTTTTTTGTCCTTTTGTGACTGAGATACTTCATTCAGCATGTCCTTCAGAGTCACCCATTTTGAATAATATTGCATGAGTTCCTTGTTTTTCATTGCAGCATAGTATTCCATTGTGTGAATATACCACAGCTTCTCTATCCATTCATCTGTTGATGGGCACTTATGTTGTTTCCAACTCCTTGCTATTGTGAACAAAGCTGCGATAAACATGGTTGTGCATATATCTGCTTGGGTGGCAGTTATGGTCTCTTTGGGGTATATTCCCAGTAGTGGAATTGCTGGGTCAAAGGTATCTCTTTTTGCAACTTTTTGAGAAAGCCCCATACCGCCTTCCGCAGGGGTTGCACCATTTTACACTCCCACCATCAGTGAATAAGGGTTCCAGTTTCTCCACAATCTCACTAGCATTTGTTGCTTGCTGTTCTGTTAAATTTTGCTATTCTGACTGGGGTGAGATGATATCTCATAGTTGTTTTAATTTGTATCTCTCTTAGAGCTAGGGATTTTGAGTATTTCTTCATGTGCTCGTTAGCCTCTGAATGTCTTCTTCGGTGAAGTGTCTGTTCATATCCATTTTTCTACTGGATTATTTACCTCTATCTTGTTGTGGTGCTCAAGTATTTTATAAATTCTGGATATAAGTACCTTATCTGTTATGTCATTACCAAAAACTTTTTCCCAGTCAGTGGCTTCCCTTTTTACCCTGTTGGAGAAGTTTTTGGATGTGCATAGAGATCTGATTCTTAGAAGATCCCATTCATCTACTTTATTTTCTCCTGGTTGTAGGAGAAAGACTTTTCAAATAGGAAGATATTCGCATGGCCAAAAGACACAAGAAGAATGCTCAAAATCACTGGCAATAAAAGAGACGTAGATTGAAACCATAATGAGATACCATCTCACCCCAGTAGCAGTGGTGAAGTTTAATAGGACATCAAGTAATAAATGCTAGAGAGGATGTGGAGAGATAGGAACTGTTATGCACGATTGGTGGGATTGTAAAATGGTACAACCACTCTGGAAGACAGTTTGGCATTTCCTCAAAAAGCTGAACATAGAAATTCCATGATCCAGCTACTCCAATGCTTTGAATATACTTCAAGAAAATTTGGGAAAAAAAAAAGAAAATTGGAACTGAGGCACAAATGGAGATTTTTACATCAATGTTCATAACAGCGGTATTCACCATTGTAAGAACATCAATGTATTGAGAAATTATGGTACATTCACAAGATGGAATACAACGATGCAGGCAGGAAGAATTATTCTGAAAATCATTACCTAACTTGAGATGGACTGGAGAGCATTATGCTAAGTGAACTCAGTCCTATAAGGACAAATACTGTATAATTCCATCATCATAGAAATAAAAAGATAATTAGTAACACATGTATGAGGCTCTAAAGGGGGAAGTTTGGAGCAAGGGGATGAGGATGGGCAGGGGGTAATCACAGGGTCGCATAATCTGATGGGTGGAGGAAGGGGTGGATAAAGCAACTGGGAAAGAGCCAGTGTGAAAAACAATGGATATGGACTTTGTAAGTAAACCAGTATAAAATAATTTTTCTTTTTTCATAAAAGAGGTGATAAAAAAAAGATTTTAAAATTCAGGTGTGATAGACTCAAGGCCATATTTTGGTTCTTGTGAACTTGTTTTCACTTTTTTCAGTCTTAATTTGAACTTGCACAGAAGTAATTGACGGTCTGTTTCATGGTCAGCATAGGACCTAGTTTTGACCGCTGATATTCAGCTTCTCAAATGATTCCAGATGTAGTCCATCTGATTCCTGAGCAGTCCATTAGGAGGGGTCCATGTGTAAAGACACTATGCTTTTTATATAGATTACATCTCAACATCAAGAAAACAAAAATCTTCACCACGGAACCAATTGGTAACATCATGATAGGGAAAAGATTGAAACTGTAAACAACTTCATCTTACTTTGATCAATTTACAATTAACACTTTTGGTACCAGCAATCAGAAGATCTGGAAATGCACTGCATTGGGCAAGTCCACTGTCAGGAACCTCTCCTAGTTACTGGAGAGCAATGATGTTAGTTTGAGGACTGATTCAGACTATCATATTTTAAGTAATTTTCTACACCACTGGGAGTTGAACAATGAATAAGGATGACAGAAGAACTGATCCCTTTGAACTGTGGTATTGGAGAAGAGTCCTAAATATCCTATGGACTGCCAAAAGAACAAACAGGTATGTTTTACAGAAAGTGCAGCCAGAGTGCTCCTTGGAGGTGAAGATTTAGCTTGGTAACAAATACTCTGGGCATGTTGCTAGGACAGAATATTCCTTGGTGAAGGACAGTAGGCTTGGAAACATGGAGGGATGGTGAAGGAGAGGAAGACTCTCAACCAGGTGGATCGACACAGTTTTATCAGTTTTGGGCTTGAGTGTATCAGAGATGATAAGGATGGCACAGGACAGGACAGGGTTCAGATCTGTTGTTCACAGGGGGCTCTATGAGTCGCAGTCTACTCAATGGCACACAACAACATTGTTGTTATGTGCCGTCGAGTCGTTTTCGACTCATAGCGACCCTATGCACAACAGCCCTAAACCCTGCTCTATCCTGCACCAATCGCACTGCCTCTGACACACCCATCCCGATTACCCCAGTCACCGTATCAATCCATCTCATAGAGGGCCTTCCCCTCCTGCGCTGTCCCTCCACCCTCCCAAGCATGATGTCCCTCTCCAAGGACCCGTCCCTCCTGGCAACGTGTCCAAAGTATGTCAGACGAAGCCCCAGAATTCTTACTCTACCATATGTCTGTCAGTGTGTCAAACTCAGTTTATCAACTGATAAATGGATAAACATGTGTTAAATTCCATGTCCAACCCCTCTAAAAAAAGTCCACAAAGTACTATTTGTGAAAATAATACAAGAGAAAGAAGTACTGATAGGTAATACAGCAAAGATGATGTTTCACAAAAGGTCAATATATTACATGATTTCATTTACATGAAATGTTCAAAGCCAAGCACATGCAGAGAGAAAAAATTACATGATTAGCTACTTAGGCTAGAGGAGCCGTGAATAGAGAGGAATTGTTACTGGGTATGATCTTTCTTTTCAGACTAATAAAAATACTCTGGAATTAGATTCCTATGGAATCTTGTGAATATATAAAAATCACTTAACTGTGTATTTTATCAGGGTGAATTTTATGACATGTGAATGATCTCAATGAAGCCATTATTTTAAAACAACAACAACAAAAAAAAAAACACCCAAGAAAAAATGAAGAATAACCTTTACTGGCTTGTTTAAGTTGCCTCTTTAGAACTCAAGTGGGTTACGTGCTCGGCTGCCAACTGAAAGGTTAGAAGTCTATTCCCAAGCCACTCTGTGAGAAAACACAGTCTCCTTTTAAGCCTTGGGTTAGAAATGGAGGTTGCCCTGAGTTAGAAGGATCACACAGACAGTGGGTTTAGATTGGTTTGGTCAGTATAAGAAAAGCTTCATCATGCAATAAAAGTGAAGAGAAGTAGCTAAGCAGGGAGCACAAACTAATTCTTTTAATTCCAAAGCCCTATACCTCCACTAGGGAGGTCTGATGGCCTCATAGATGAGGAGTTCCACTGTCAACCCAAGGCAGGTGGTTTGAGTTCAATTAGCAAGTTTGCAGAAGAAAGAAGGGCACTTACTCTCTTCCTGTACACTTTACAAACTCTGAAAGCCTGTTGGAGGGTTAGCTATGAGTTGGTTCTGACTTGACTGCAAGGAGTTAGTTTTGAGCAATACCTCCATTGGCACATATCTACAAACGATCCTTAGAATAAGGGCATAGAGAATTCGCTTACCACTGCGTGGACGGCTTTTCCTGAGCCTGTAACAGTCAAGGCAGACCCCAAATCCACATTTGCGACAAACCCAGTGGATATTGAAAAGTGTTGTTTCACATACATCACACATTTCCCGAACACCACGCACTGCTCTTTTCCATGCCACTTTCTCTGAGAGAAGAAAAGAAGTATTATCAGCCTTGACTATGGTAATTAACAACAAAAGCCCCTAGATTCTCTGATCCCTAGACAAATCTTTTTTATAGAAATAAAATGCAAAGATCTACATAGTTAAATGTTTCTAAAATTGTATGAGAAACAAAATACATAGAATTTCTTTTTCTAAATAAACTATGTAACGTTATGGGCTGTGGTAATGTCAGGTTATGATAATCTATTGCCATGGAATGCATGCTGTATGTTCCCACTTAAGAAACTAAAATTTTCAATCTTAGGGAGCTTAAAAGAAGAGGTTGTGTTTTATTTTTCCTTGAAATTTAAGGCATTATTGTGTCCAGCACAATTTTCTTTGGTTTGGAAAGCAAATAGTCAAAAAACCAGTGATAATTTCATCTGTTTATAATCTATGAAAAGAGAATTGACTACTAATAAAAATTAGTTCAGTGCTAAAGAAGAAAAGAGCTCAAAATAAAAAGCATGGAAGGAAAGCATTTTTGAGTTTGTTAACTGCCAAGACTTGGTGACTATGCTTTCAGTTATGTAGACTGCGATAAAAAAGAAGTCTTAATCAGTCTTGTTGATTTTGTTTTTGGTTTCTGATTTAGGAGATCAGATGTGTTACAGAGAAAACCATTCCTTGAGGTTTTCTTGTCCTTTTATGAAAGTAGATCATCAGTTACTTTTGCAGTGTTTTTGGGTGGTTTTAAACTGCCAACCTTCTGGTTAATAGTAAAGATTTTAGGCTTAAAAAAATCATCTGCTTCTGCCCAGGGACCTTTTCAACCTTAATTCATGCATTAAAAGAAAGAAATTTAGTTTCCAGCTAGGCATGTGTAAAAGACCAGCAAGAACAAGAAGGTGCCTTACGATGTGGCTCCACCATCATCATGGCCTCCTTCTCAGACATCACGAGCTGGCAGAACTGGTCTCCGACATTGGCCAGGATATACTTTGAGGTCTCTAGGTCTATCCCCTCTGCGAGGGAGGAGGAAGGAATCCACAGGTTCATTGCATCAGGATCACTTTGCTGGGGGCTCAAAAAACCCTCCACACGGAGTACCCCTTTTCGAGTGAAGACCAATCTAAGACAGAAAATTAGACAGTTAAAGAAATACATGGTAAAAAGCAAGAGCCATGCAACTTACATACAACTAAAATCCTAGGACTTATAAGAAATCAAGTGAAAATTATTATTATGAATCAAACTGAGTCAAGAACTTTCACCTTATTTGACCAAGATAGCATGTATTCTATGCACTAATAAAAATGCTTGTTAATTCTTGGTAAATATGAAGTCTTTAATAAATCCACTGGAAGGTCATCTAGGAATTGGCCCTCACTTGATGGCACATAACGACAGCAGCATGTTAAGTGAGCCCTTAATATTGCCAAACAGTCAGAGTCCAGATTCCTGATATACTTATTTACGTGGGCACTTGTTTAATACTATTTCCTTTCTTTCCAGATATCCAATGTTATCCTCCACACAGACTTTGCTTTCTATTCTCCAGAAAAAAGTAGGAGTTAATCAAGAACTTATAAAAACACCCATAAATACACCATCCTGCAAACTGCTTCTTGCTCTGGCCAGGACTTCTACAATGTTGAAAAGGCGTGGTGATAAAGGGTAATCTTTTTTTTTTTAATTTTTTTTTTATTAATTTCAATGAACATCTACTGAGCATTTTTTATCAGGAAAAGGTGCTGGTCAAATACCTTTTCTGCATCAACTTAGATGATCATGTATTTCTTTCCCTTAGCTTTACTGATATGGTAGATTAAAATGATTATTTTTCTAATGTTAAATCATCCTTGCAGCTCAATCTCATCTCTGCACTGAATTCCACTCTGACCATTCTAATATGATGCTAGATTCTATTTGCTAGGATTCTATTGAGAATTTTTGTTCATGGGGGATGGTCTTATGTACTGTTGAGTTGGAACAACCTTGAAGCTGGCTGTCCAGTGGATTTCAGAGGCTGTAAACCACACAGAGGGAGACTGCCCATCTTTCTCCCATGTAACAGTTGGTATAGTTGAATCTTGAGCCTTTGGCTTGGCAGTGCAACTCCTTACCACTAGGCCACCATCATGAGGAATACAGAACTATAATTTAATTTTCTTACTGGTGTCACTGCGTGGCTTTGGTAGTAGTTAAAAGTTTTCACAGACCGTATTCAGAGGTATTCCATCTTTTGTTATCTTCTTAAATAGTCTGAGTATAATTGTTGTTAGTTCTTCTGTGAATGATTGGTAGAATAACTGGTGGAGCTGTCTGGATCCAGACTATTTTGTTTGGGAGTGTTTTTATAACCTGTTCAATTTCTTCTTCTGTGATGAATCCGTTCAAATCTATTTCTAACTATGTTAGTTTAAGTAAGCATGAGTGTTTAAAAATCTGTATATACAGATTTACAATCTGTACAACCCAATATTTTCAAATCTATTATAGTTTTTCATGTTGTTGCTGTTGATTGCCTTTGAGTCAAGCATGACTTGTAGCGACCCTATGAACAAAAGGCCTGAAACCCTTCTACAACTATTGATATTTATCAAAGTTCATAGAGTTTCCGGAGGCACGTTATTTAGGAAGTAGATGCCACTCCTGCTTCTAAGCCTGTCATAATATGTTACTGTTTTTTATGCCATTGAGTCACTTGCGATGTATAGTGACCCTATGCACAGCAGCTCTGAATCCTTCCCTGTCCAGAGCCAGTCTCACTAACTGCAACACACCAACCCCACCAACCCCACCAACCCCAACTGCCTCAGTTACTGTATCAATCCATCTCGTTCTGGGTCTGCCACTTCTCGCTGCCCGTCCACCCTTCCAAGCATCATGTCCTTCTCCAAGGACTGATCTCTTCTGGCCATGTGCCCAAAGTGAGTGAGGCAGAGCGTCAAAATCCTAGCCTCCAAGGAGAGACTTGGCTTCACCTTCTTCAAGTCAGACTGATTTGTTTTCTTTGCAGTCCATGGTATGTTCAAGACTCTTCAGCACCACAATTTGAAGGCATCTATTCTTCTTCTGTTATCCTTAGTCATTGTCCAACTTTCTGAAGCATAACAAGTAATTGAGAAGATCATGACCTGGATCAGGCGCATCTTTGTATCAAGACTGACATTATTGCTCTTCAGTACTCTGGAGAGGTCCATGACAGCAGATTTTCCCAATGCAATTTGTCTTTTGATTTCCTGACTGCTGGTGTTAATTAAGAATGCTGATTGTGAATCCAAGCAAGGTGTAATTGTTAACAACCTCAATCTCTTCTCCATCTAATATGGTGATGCCAGTTGGCCCAGTGGTGAGAATCTTTGTCTTCCTGATGTTGAGCTTCAATCCATATTGAAGATCACAGTCCTTGACCTTTTGCAAGTGCTTTAGGTCCTTTTCAGTTTCAGAAAGTAGGGTTGTGGCATCTGCATACTGCAGGTTGTTAATGAGTCTTCCTCCAATCCTGATGCCACACTCCTCCTCATAAAGCCCTGCTTCCCAAATGATCTGCCTGGCATAGACTGAAAAGGTACGATAGGATGCACTCCCTTCCTGATTTTGAACCATGCAGTATTTTCCTGATCTGTTCTGAGGACTGTTCTTGGTCCAAGTATAGGTTTCATATAAGCATGATCAAGAGCCCTGAGATACTCATTTTCCTCAAAGTTAGCCACAATTTACTGTGATCCACACAGTCAAATGCCTTTGCACAGTCAATGAAACAGACATTCTTCAGGTACTCTCTGCTTTCTGCCAAGATCTGTCTGGCTTTGGCAATAATGTCTTTAGTGCAACGACCTCTTCCAAACCCAGCTTGTGTTTCTAGAAGTTCTCTGTCAATGTACTGTTCCTATAGTTTATAAATATGGGTATGCATACATCTGTTTGTAGTTCTGATTTCTTCTTCTTTTTTTTGGGAGTTGGATATTTTTTTAAACTAATTTTAAGGAAAGTTTACAGTAGAGATTAGGCTTTCCATTCATTCACTCATTTGTTGCACATTTCCACTTTTTAAGAAAGCACCAGACCACCTTCTATAACCTCTGTACCGTTTTACATTTGCACTTCAGTGAATACAAGTTCCAATCTCTCCCAGCTGGAAACAAAGGAGGACGCTTCAACGATTTAGATCCTCCCAGAAAAGCTGTGAGTGAGCATTAACATTACTGGTAGGTATATTCGTTTTCTCCTGGCACAAGAGCCTACTATTTGGTCCTAAAAGCCTTCTGAGGTCCCAACTCTTCTCACTATTTCTTAGTTGTTGGAATTGACAGAAAACCTCATAAGCAGTTCCTTACTTCACCTCTGCCTTGCATGTGGACTTCCGAGCTGTAAAACAACGCAGTGGTAGATGGAATTTGCTCCAGGACTTAAGAACCATAAATGACATAGTTGAGCCTCTATATCTTGTGGTTCCTAACCTTTATACTATAATAGTCAAAGTGATAGTCAATAGGCCTTTTATTTTAAGAACTACCTTCCCTCTGTAACTTGATTTGTGCCACTGTTAGAACCTCTACTTGGAATATTCTTGCTTTTTAATGTTTGACTCGTGTACTTTTAACTTGTTAGCTAAATTTGTGTCTTATAGGCTGCAACAGTTCCATGATACGTCTTCAAGGATATGAACATGTACAGCTAAGCACAAATGATAACAGTGCATCTAAATTCCAAAATCAATCGCCACAATAGTCTAACATGTTTCCTATTGCCAAAGGGGCCCTTTAGAGTAGTGAGAGAAGATCTTAACCCTGAAACCTACAGCATCCCTTTTCAGCAGGAAGTAGCTAAGAGAATACACCGTCCCCTTTTCCTTATGAATCAGGATGAAGTCTCTCTCAGGGAGGAGTGATAGGGAATGGCAAAGGACACACTGACAAAGGAGATTAATCAGAACTGGCTTTGACAAGCACTGTGGCAATGGGACAATTAAAACAGACTTTTGGGGGGGAAGAGGAATGAAATGGGGGGGGTAGAGAAAATAGTGCAACAATGAATGAATGGAAATCCAAAATCTCTGTAAATGCTCATTAAAATGAATAAAATTTAATTAAAAAAAAAGTACAGTTCAAATCCACCAGATGCTCTGCTTGAGAAGGAGGAACAATGTCCTCCTGTACCAGTCAGATCTGATTTGACGGTACACACAAAAAATAATCAAATAAAAAAAAAAAAGTAAAAAAAAAGTTCCAATCTCTCCACAACTTCACCAACATTTGTTGTTTGCTGTCCTGTTGAACTTTGCTATTGTTGCTGGGATGAGATGATATCTCATAGATGTTCTGAGTAAAAATTCTTCTTAGAAAATTGTTTATAAGAAATGCCTAAATTTAAAAGGAAAGTGTATATAACACAGCTGTGTTTGGTTTTTTTTTTAATAAAATTGGGTAATTCCAGGATTTTCATCAGACTCTATACATACTTCAGGCATGTTGCTAGGAGAGGTTATTCCATGGAGCAGGGTATCATGCTTGGAAAGGTGGAGGGTTGACAAAAGAGAGAAGACCCTCAACGAGATGGTCTGACACAGGAACTGCAGCAATGGACTCAAGTAGGTCAGAGATTGTGAGGATGGCACAGGATAGAACAGGGTTCAGATATGTTGTTCACAGGGTCTCTATGGGTCATACACAACTCAAAAGCACCTAACAACAATACCACGTTACTATCTCCTAGTTGTACTTCCTCTTCTCTCCAACATGACTCAAGTTATTCTAACTGAGTCAGAGGATTAAGTGACTAGGTAGCCCCATAATTCAAAATGGAGTCCTTCAGTTTATGTCAGTGGTTACAAATGAAACTCATTTGGGGAAAACGTCATCATTTCATACTGGGGTTATTAATTGAGACTATTCAACTTAGGTTTCCAAGGACACATTAAAAAACTACCTGGTTACAATGGCAGAGTCCTAGCCCAGACTTTTAAGAGATTAAAGGGGAGTTAAGGAAAGAGATGAAAAGGATGGTAAGCTATGTTGACAATTTCAGAGAAAGAGTAGAAGCTGTGTCACTAATAGAAAATTGAGAAAGAGGCAGAAAGAGGAGTGTACCTCCGGAAGTGGAAGAAGCGGCAGGCCACAGTGGAATCATCTTGTTCCTGTTCTTTAAACTTCCTATACCGCTCGAGGCGGCACTCCCGGCACTTGTGCAGATGAGGGGCCACGTTAATGCACGACCCGTCCTGTAGAAAGGGCTCTCCAGACTGCTTCAGCTTCTTCACTTTGCTTACATCTTTCAGCACTGACTGGCCAACTGTGGCAAGAGGGAGGGGGAAAAGTTGTTCATGAGACATGAAAATGAAGCCCTATAATGTGAGGATTTTGGGGACAGATACTTGTTTTGCCCTGGGACCCTCTTCCTGGCACTCCTTGGACAGGTGTGTACAAGGCCTCACTTTTGATAGAAAAGGAGTATAGGGAGAAAAGAGGTTCCAATTGGAAGTGAAGGATCACTGAAAATTTGTGAAAAGTTTCAAAGTATAATACATACCTTTGGACTCTAGAGAAACCGTAGGATTGTTGCCAACATTCAACAGCAACTCAGAACATGGCTTTTCACTAATTAAGACTTTCTGAGCTCCAATAGAACGCCAATTATTTCTACTGAGAGTTGTTATTTTTACCACAGGACTTTCTCCCTGGTTTCTTCCATGGTTTGAATGTACCAGTTTTGCTCCATAGGAGAAAGACAGGCAATGTCCTCTGTGTGATTTACTGCCTCTGTGATTTAAACCCACTGGAGGGTTAGGTATGAGTCGGTTCCGACTTGATGGTACTCAACAACAACAACTTACACATTTCCATGCTATAATCTATCAACCACTGAGGATAAAGACTTTTGTTAGTGGTGCTAAATCCTTAAATATATTCTAGAAGTGCAAAAATTGAGGAGTGATTCTCTTTACATCCTCAAATCTACAAAGGCCTGATACGTGAGAGTGGAACCAGCAGTACTCAGTTACTTCTCAAAAGTAAAGGAAAAGAACGACCAAAGCAAAGGACAAAGGGATAAGGTAAATACAAGGAAATGGTTGTGAACAAGAAAAATAACAGACTGCCAGGAAGATCAAAGGTCTTCCTTTGTGAGGTTAACACACAAGATAAGACATTCCTCTCACAGATGGTCCCAACCAGATGGTCCAATGAAGGGCCTCTGTTAAACGCTTTGCCTACGTAATTCTCTTGACAATCATAGACCTTTCCATCAGAGTGCATGCCTCTGCTGCCCAAGAGCACAATAGCAACTGAAGTCAGTGCCACTGCAAAACTCTTAATGTAACCCCAGCAGGATCACCTTTCAGAGGGGCGGTCCGAGGCCGGCCCTTAGGGGCCTGCTTCCCTTTGCCTTTGCCCAGCAACAGCTCAGCACTGCGCTCCCCATTGGGGCCCAGCTTTCCCATCAGGTGCTCCGGAATCCCCTTCAGACCAGTTTTGGCTTGCAGCTGCTCCTCAGAGTCGCTCATATCTGACAGGTCACTGTTGGTGCTGGAGTCTGAGTCCTGTCTGCAAGCCAAGCTTCGCTCATCCAGTGAGAACCTTTTCACAGCTTCAAAAGGAGCTTTGTTCTCCTGTGAAAAATCTGCAGGAGAAGACAGAAAGCCGGCTGAGTGCCTGCCAAAGACAGTACTAAAGGTTTTGAGGAGGGGATTGTCCTGCTGTCCAGGCCCCACAGTTGGCCTCTCCTCTGTGGGGCTGGAGGAGAGAGTAGGCATCTCGATGGGCTGGGTGAGGCTGCTGGTGGGTGAGCTGGAACGGCCATTCCCCATGGCTGAGAGGCTTGGGCCAGCGGTGGTAAGAGTTGAACCCAGAACACCAGGCACCAGCTTGGAGGAGTCAGTTGCTATGAAGAGAGTTTTCTTCTTTGCTGAAGATGCTGAATCTGTAGAGGAGTGAGAGTCAGGCCAGCTGGGTGCTGCCTTGGAAGTGACAGTGGTAGCAGAAGAGCAGCTACCTGATGCCTGAGATGCAAAGCTGCTGAAAGGGCTATGTTCTACTTTCTCCACAAATGCCAGAAAAGGATTAGAAGGCTCTTCTCGGGATAATTTGGGGGGCTGTAAAAATAGATTTTCATGACTCTCTGGTGTGTGGGTATTTAGGAGACTCCGGGGGAAGGCTGGTGTGAGGGTGGGCATGGACTCTGCAGGCACTTTCCTGTCCACAGAGCTGCCAGCCTTAGAGCCTGCCTTAGGGTCTGCTCCCAGGGCAGGTCTGCTTTTACACAGGCCTGAGCTGAGGCTCTCAAGGCTTTGTTTGAAAGAGTCTCGACTAGAGGAATCATCAGTCAAACTCTCTGAAACTGTAGTGAAGTAGTTACTGGTGGGTAAAGTTTGTGACATGCACTGAAAAAACAAGTTTTTGGAGAGATCAGAGTCTGTCTGTGACTCTGATGCAGAGCTACAGCCAAAGAAGCCCAATGGTTTATTCTCTGTGGCTAGAACCCCGTTGGACTGGCTTCTTCCACTTCCAAAATTCAAAGGTTGTGATGAACTGGAGAGAGATGCTCCAAATCCAGAAGTAGTCAGAAGAGAATTTCTTGAATTCTGAAAGAAAAGTCAGCCTCAGTTAGTGATGCTGCTGTTTCATGACAAAGATAGATCTCTTTCTTGGAGCTAAGTAATCATTGTACCAGTATTTCTTGTCGGACAATTAAATCTTCTTTCCTACCATTCTATAGAATTGTTCCTATAACTGGGTTTCACCAGCACCAGAGAAGAAAGCAGTCACAGACCATAGCTGGATGTCTTTTACCTTGCCACTCCTGGGGAAAAGGGTCTTGTGCAGATACCAGCTTTTACTTTGAAACACAACTAATGACTATTATGATAATAATCTACCTCAATGACCTCAGGTTATTATTAAAGTTTTAATTTATTTAAGCTATTGCATACTCTCTTACAAATTACTTCAGTCCTATCATAAGCTCATTATAATGAAAATAGTCTATAGCTCTCCAAGAAGGACCCTTCTGGAAATTGCCTAACTATTTATGGGTCTTAATTTCACCTACAAGTTGAATATCGAAAAACTGAAGTTAGACCTTATCATTAGAATCTACCAGTGTTCTAGAAAGGAAAAAAAATGTGTCTATTAACATACAAAATATACACAGAAAAAAATCCATTTATATGTACATATGAGTTCTTAACATTTGTTTCATAAAACTCAGCTCTTAACACTTGATTTATAAACCATTGTTTGTAAAAAAAAAAAAAATCAAACGAAAAAACACGTTCCGGAAACAGAGGTTGATATCTCAAAAGATTCATTGGGGAAAAAAAATATTTCATTACTATTCAATAGATATGAGGTTTCCTTTTTGGGGTGATGAAAAAGTTTTGGAACTAACAAATGATGATCATTAGAAAACACTGTTATGCAGTAAATGGCACTGGAATTACAGACTTAGAAATACTTTATAAGGGTAAATTTTAGGTTTAACAATAAAAGTAAAAAAATCCAGATAAACAAAATGGCTATCTCCCCACCCCTCCACCCCGCGAGTTAAGTTTATGCATGCTATTCTTTAAACGAGAAATTCTGGTAACACTCAAGTCACAATTAAAGAAAAAATAAAGACAAAAAAATGTGGAACCTTTTTCCATCCAGTGACTGAGGGCTACACAGAGGGATGGAATAATGCAGGACACCTGTTGTTTTGTCTCTATTTGACATTGGCAGGAGATCGCTTCCAACCATTATAGAGTTAAAATCTTAAAGCTCATTTTTCTTTTCCTTCATACAAATCAAATGGACTGGACAAAGACCTGACACTCTGTTGTTGTTTCACTGGCAGCACTGGCCGGCCATAAGACATTACACCTGCATGACTGCAAGGCACCAGTGTGAGCAGCTCATGTTTCATTACCAAAGGTTTCTTTGGAACATAAACACATGAACAACAACAACAACAACAACAAAATGGGATATTTCTTCAAATGATTAAATTCCAAATACTTTTTTTATAAGCAAGTGGTGACAAATTGATAGCAAGAGATGGTTTTTGGAGCAAGAAGTTTCCTGATGGCTGCATCATTTCAGATTTGCATTACAGTGGAAATACTCATTTCTGTACTTTACAATGATATCCTGAAACATTAGCAAAATCACTGACACTGTAGCAGACATTTCTTTAACTTCTTTGATATCTATTAAGTTTTTGCTGCCTAGAAAATAACAGCATTCAGAGGATTTCTTTTTGCATTTAAAAGTTGGTCTATTATGCAATTCATACAGCCTTTAACATGGAGTTAATTTGAAATAATTTAGACACTATGATGGCTTACATACGCTAGAAAGCCACTAAGACCCTCACCTGGTTCTTCTGAGGATACAGTTCAACTACCAGAGGACAAACAGACATATGAACCTTGTGAAATGTGCATTTACAGATTACCTCCCCAACTCATCCCTGCACATCTGCTGTTAGGTGCCATCTAGTCAGCTATGACTCATAGCAATCCAATCAATAAACTGTGCAATAAATTGTGCATTTGCTGGAAAAGGAAGGAAATCAAACGTGTGTGTGTGTGTGTGTGTATATGTTTTATTTGGTATTGTTATCCCAAAAACATCTGCATTTTAGAATATGAGCTCATTAATATAGGGATATGAAATATTTATTTTTATATAGTACTTAGCACACAGTAATTTCTTATACATAACTTTAAAAAAAATAAGCATTTCATCTTTGTATTTTTTTATTCCAGCCTGAGTTAACAGCCAGTTTTGGGTGGGGAAGGGGAGCTGCAAAACAATACAACTGATATTGGTATTATTTCAAATTTGGATTGGGAAGTCACCTTAATTGTTAACCTATATTTGTTTAAAAATAGTTTCAGATTAGCAGTAATATATGCTTATCAGAAAAAAGGAACTCTGGTGGCACAGCTGGTGGGAGCTGTGCTGCTAAATCCTAAAGCTGCACCCCTCAGGCAATCGGAATCCACCAGATATTCCGAAGATAGATGGACAACCTTTTCTGCACAACTTACAACCTCACAACTCGCCAGAGGCCAGCTATGAGTCAGTTCTGATTCCAAAGTACTAAGTTTGAGATTGAGATCAGATAAAGAACATAGTAAACTAGACTCTACTGTGATTAATCCCACACACTTTTTCAGATAAGGCCTAAAAAAGATCGAAATTTGAGAAAAACCAAACCAATAAAATTTTTTTTATGGCTCGATCAAATCATAGAAAACAGCACAGCCTCAAAGAAAATATCACTGAAAATGAATTGCAAACAGAGGCTGGTAATGGTAGCTTGCATATAGCCTTAATTATAGTGTTCACTATTATCAACACTGTAATTCATTAACCTTGACTCTGAAAGGCCTGGTGGAGGCTCAGTCACTACGTGAATTGAATAGATAATTGATTTAAAAAGATTTCCCACCAGATCTATTTTAATATATCATTAAATTAGGTCATATAATCAGTTTTTGATTAGTCCAATTGTGCAGATGACTTTAAAGAGATTATAAAGTCATTAAAATATATACATTTGCCCAATGAGGGAAGTGTCACCTCATCAAACACAGCAAAAGTCTATTCAGAGTACAATTTAAACTTATTAAAAAAATGGATTTTTCTTTTTCTGTGACATTTGAGATGCTTTCTGGTGTGTTAACAACAAAGGTGGGTAAAAAAGGAACACAAATCTTGCAAATGAAGCAACTCACCTCTCCCGAGGCCTGTGGCCAGCTGCCTCTCTGTTTTTCTGGCCCAGTCCCTGTTGCAAGGCCAGTGTCTGAGATCCTCACTGTGGTTGGGGTGGTGTTGGCGGTATTAGCTACCGCTGTTGAGGGCACCATGCCCTGGCCAACTTGTTCCAATGTTTTTCCTGCCTCTTTGTTTTCAGTTCCACCCACCTCTGGGGTTAAAGGTAGCTGACCTGGGGCTGAAGAATATGGAGTGAAAGGTACAGGTGTGTCCCCACCTACAGGTTCATCTTGTACCACCAGAGTCCTGCCGTTTTCTTTGGTGTAAGTGGCAAAGCGAATGCTGCGGTTAATCTGGGGGATAAACGTGGATGGCGGCTGCTTGGCCCTCTGATCCAGTGCTGTCTCTCCAATGGCATTCCCTCCTTTCCAGGGTCCTCGGCTCGCCTCACCTCCATCGCTCCCCGTACTGTCTACTTCACCCCTGTCTCCTTTTAATTTCTTTGATGCAGGGTCACACCCAGAGTCTGATGCACTTTTTCTCCTCCGGCCATCTTTCCCCTCTATGCTTTCTCTCTTCTTCTTTCCTTTGGAAGATTTTACTGCTTTTAACGTCCCTCCCTACAAAACAAAATTCAAAAAAGATTTATTACAAGGGACCTTCTATTCTGTGAAAAATAATAAACCATGAGCTCTTTCCCAACTCTAGAAGCAAACAGTTGAATCAGGCACAGATTTCCAAATTCTAAAGCCAGGTCTAAGACATACCCACTGTCTAAAAGCATAATCTTCCTTATATTTTCACATGTTCAGGATGATAGTAACTAGAAATTAATTAAATTGGCAAAGCATGCCTTAAATACAATGCATTATCTTCCTCAAATGGACTGTAAAGACTTTTTGTGTAGATTCTTTCATAAGATAATTAGAGTAGAAACTAAAATTTTTATGGGGGTAGACAATTTGCTCCCTGATTTTAAAAACATTCTTTACTACATATGAATTTCCTTATTTCACAAAAACTTTTTACTTCAAGTATTATTTCAATACTTGAGTTGAAGCTACTAAAACATGGTGAAAATACAATGCTTTCATGACCAGTGTGACAGACATTGCATACTTATATTTTCTGACTCTGGTAGTTAGTGAAGGAATGATGGTGGCACAGTGGGACAATTCAGAAAGACTGATGGTTCAAATTCATTAGCCTTCTTTGTGAGAAGAAAAGATGTGGCAGTTTGCTCCTGGTTACGATCTACAGTCTCAACTGATGGGGCAGTTCATTATCCTAGCATGGATCCTCTAAGTTAGAGTCAACTCAATAGTAGTAGGTTTGAGGAACTGCTATTGCATCTTAGTGTATGGTGTAATCTGGTAGAACTGTGAAATCTGGAAAAAATAGCCCTAATTCTACCAATTTCGGCACCTGGGACCCTTTGGGACAGATCCTGTTATTTGGTGCCACTGAATTAACTATACCTCAGAGTAACTCTCTGAACAACAGAGCTGATCCTTGTCCTATACTGTTACATCTTCACAGTCTCTGATATGCCTGAGTTCACTGTTAAAGTTACCATGTCAATTCATCTTTCTGAGGATCTTCCTCTCTTTCTCTGACTCTCCATCTTTCTCAGCATGATGTATTTTTTCAAAGACTAGTTCCTCCTGACGACATTCCAAAAATATACGAGGTGGAGTTTCACCATTCTTTCATCTAAGGAGCAACCTGGTTGCACTTCTTCCAAAATAGCCTTATTTGTTCTTTTGGTAGTCCACAGGATATTTGGTACTCTTCTCCAACACCACAATTCAAAGGCATTGATTCTTCTGCTGTCTTTCATGATACAACTTTCAGATGCACAGAAAGCAAATTAAAAGATGATGGCATGGATCTGGTGAACCTTGGTCTTTAAACGGATATCCTTGCTCTTTAGTTCTTTGGTGAGGTCCTTGACAGCAGATTTTCTTAATGCAACACGTCTTTTGATTTTTTTGACTGCTGCTACCATAGATGTTGGCAGCTGATTCATGTAAAATGAAATAACTGAAAATTTCAACTTATTCTCTTCCATGTCAGTGGTGACAATTTTTGTTTTCTTAGTGGTGAGACATTATCCATATTGAACGTTGTAGTTTTTGATCTTCTTTAGTAAGTTCTTCAAGTCTTCTTAAACTTTCTCAAGTCAGGTTATATCATCTGCATAATACAGTCATTGATTGGGCTTTCCTCCAATCTGATGTCACATTCTACCTCAAATAGTCCAGCTTTTATAATTATTTGCTGAGAATACAGAGTGAATAGATATGGAGAAAAAGATACAACCCTAACTCAAATTGTTCCTAATTTTAAACTAGGCAGTGTTCTTTGTTCTGTTTGGATAATGGCTTCTTGGTCTATGGCTTCCTGGTTTTACATGAACACAATTGTTTTGGAAATCCATTTCTCTCAAGGTTATCCATAATTTGCTATGATACACTGTCAAATACACCTATGCACAGTCAATAAAACCGTTTTCCGGTATTCTTTGCTTTCAAACAAGATCCATTTGACATCAGTAATGATATCCCTTGTGCCCAGGCCTCTTCGGAATCCAGTTTAAATTTCTAGTACTTCTCTGACAATGTACTATTGCAGCCTTTTATGAATAACCCTTTTCAAGTTTTTACTTGCATATGATACTAATGATACTGTTTGATAATTTCCACATTCCATTGCACCACCTTTTTTGGAATGGGTACAAATATGGATCTCTTCCAGTCAGTTGGTCAGGAATCTGTTCTCCAAATTTCTTGGCACAGACTAGTGAGCACAACCAGGGTCACGTCTGTTTATTGAAACATGTCCATTGGACATATCAATTCCTGGGCCTTATTTTTTTGCCAATGTTTCAGTGCACCTTGAACTTCTTCTTTGAGTACTATTGGTTCTTTATTATATGCTACTTCCTGATATGGTTTAGTGTTAATTCTTTTTGGTATAAAGACTCTATGCATTCCTTCCACCTTCTTTTGATGCCTCCTGGATCATCAAGATTATGCCCACAGAATATTGTAATCTGAGGCTTGAATTTTATCATTCAATTCTTACAGCTTGAGAAATGCTGAGCATGTTCTTCCCTTTTCATTTTCTAGAGCACAGATCTTTACACATTTTGTTACAATACTTTGTCTTTTCAAGCAAAGATAAGTGAAATGGGTATCTCTTTACTTCTGTTCTTCTCTCTTATTTCAACATCTCTTCTCTCTGTTTTGGCCTCTTAACATTCTAGGATAAGTTTCAAAGTCTCTTCTGACATTCATTTTTGTCTTTTCAAAACAGGAGAAGTTTTGCTATCTTCATGGATCATGTTATTCCACAACTCATCTTGTCACTGGTCATTAGTGTTCAATGCATCATTGTTTTAAAAAAATTTATTTTATTTTATTATTTTTCTATTTTTACCATCAAATCAGATCTGACTGGTACAGGAGGAGATTGTCCCTCCTTCTCCAGCAGAGCACCTAGTGGATTTGAACCATGCACCTTTGGGATTGTAGTGCAGCTTCCTGCCACTAGGCCACCAGAGCTCCCTGTGTTCAAATAATTTTTTGTGCATCAAATAATTTCTTGAGATGGTCTTAAATTCAGGTGGGATAAATACAAGGTCATATTTTGGTTCTTGTGGAATTTTCATTTCTTTCAGCTTCAATTTGAACTTTCTCATAAGTAATTTATGGTCTTTATCCATTGCCAGCCTTTGGCTTTTTTTGACTACTGACTTTGAGCTTCTCCTTCGACTCTTTTCACAAATGTAGTCAATGTGGTTCTGTGTAATTCATCAAGTGAGGTTCATGTGTATAGTTGGTTATGTTTTTTTTTTTAAAGGTACAAGTTGTATCAGGTTATCTGCTGCTTCCTTTCTATCACCTGTTTTCAACTATTTTCCAACTGTCAGTCCTCCTCCTTTGTTTCTAACTTTTGTATTCCAGCCACTAATTATTATTAATGCATGTTGGTTGCATGTTCGATCAATTTCAGTCAGCAAAATTTGGTAGAAATTCTCAATTTCTTAATATTGTTGTTGCTGTTGTTCAGTGCCATTGAGTTGAGTACGACCCTATGAACAGATCTCAACCTTGTTGTATCCTGCAATATCCTCACACTTCCCGGCACCTGAGAGCCTACTGAAAGAGTCACCGTGTCAATTCACCTGGTTGGTGCATATATTTGATTAATGTTTTTCTTAATTGGTCTTTTAAAGATATATACAGACAATATATTACCACTCACAGCACTGTAAATCAGGATAGTGAAATGTTATTTGGTTTTTTTAATGTTCTTTTTTTTAAAAGGAATGTAACACCATTACTCTTCAATTTGTCATTCCCAGCATAAAAGAACACAAGACTATCTGATACAAAGGGGCCAATACTAGCTAGTCTATCTCAGTTCATTAATAGGACACATGTGCTCCATTAATTGTATCAAAATCTTTACAACTGCAAAAAAATTCTAAGTTTTTTCATTTCATTCAAATTGCCTTGCATTACAGAAAACACATGATTTCAACAAAAGATTCAAAGTAGAAAATAATGCCATCTTTAGAGGTGAACAATAGGAAAAGTAATTCCAGCAGAAACAGATTTTGTTTTCATAGATACTATTAAAGATTCCAACAATCTCCAGACTTTATTTCAAAGCATTAGAGAAATAGGATGGGGAGGGAAAATAGACTACCATACAACAAACTGCTAACTCTATTAGCTCTTCTAACAATTTTATGATATCTTATTGGTATCTTATTTGAGATGCTAGAACATCTAAGATAATATAGGATTAAGAAATTCCCTGAGGCTGAAAAGAAGGGAGTAGCAAATATAGTTCTCTCTCATGTAATCTCTATGCAGTTATAACGAATAACCAGACCTTTTAAAATTGTATATCCCACAGATGTGTATACAAATAAATCAAGCATTCTTTTTAGATTTTATTCAGATAACATGTGTTGGTGTGGCAATAAGCTAAAGATACACAGTTATTTAGCCATCAGTATTTATCAACTTACAGAGCTCTGTTGGCATAGTCTGTCACATGTTATTCTGCTAACAAAAAGGATTCAAGTCTCTTGCAGTTAAAATTTATAAGCAATTAAGTAAGAAAGATGGGCAATTTCCTCCTGTTAAGATTTATAGCCATGAAAACATAATGAGGGCTGCTGTGAGTCAGTCTACTCAATGGTGGTGAGAGAATTTATCAATTTAATGAACTGTACCCTTGAGTATTTTATATATTCTTTGTACAGATTTTTGTCTTTATTTATTGTAATTATTACTATTGTAACTGAAACATTTTCAAATTTTATTTTTTGTCTTGACAGTTGTAGTTTCTTTATTTTTCCTACCTTTAGTTTTAACTTTTTGCCTTTAATTTCTGTACAGGATTCTCTCCCCCCCCTCCCCCCACTACAATGTCAAGAAAACAAAGATTCTCATCACTGGGCTGACTGGCATCATCATGATAGATGGTGAAGATTGTTGACAGCTTCAGTTTGCTTGGCTCTACAATCAACACTCTTGGGACCAGAGCCAGGAAATTAAAAGACGAACTGCACTGGGAAAGTCTGCTGTCAGAGACCTCTCCAAGGTAGTGAGGAGCAACGATGTCAGTCTGGTGATTTAGGTGTGTCTAATACAGGCCATGGTCTTTGCCATTTCTTGCTATGCTTCAGAGAGCTAGACAATGACTGGGGATGATAGAAGGAGAGTTGATGACTTTGAGCTTTGGTGCTGGAGAAAAGTATTGAATATATCATGGACTGTTGGGAGAACAAACAAGTTCTTCCTAGAGAGGGTGAAGCCAGGATGCTGAAGATTCATCTGACATACTTCGGACATGTTGCAAGGAGAGACCAGTCCTTGGAGAGGGCTGTCATGCTTGGGAGGGTGGTGGGACGGCGCAGGAGAGGAAAACCCTTGATAAGATGGATTGATTCCATCACTGAGGTAATAGGGATAGGCATGTAGGAGACAGTGACATTGGTAAGGGACAGAGCAGGAGTTAGGGCTGTTGTACATAGGGTCGCTATGAGTCGCAAGTGACTCAACGGCATATAACAAAAACAACAACAACAAAACATCCAGATTTCTAAATATTTTATTCAAGAATTATTTCTGTGTGCTAAGCACTTTTTTTTATTTGACTGATTCCTTAAATATTTTTAAACTCAAAATGACTTATGTTTTATTTAAAAAAATTTTTTATTTTATATTGGTTTGCACACACAGTTTGTATACACTGGGTTCATTCACATTGTACATTATACAATCATTCCCATTCATTATGGGAGAATTTTTTTGGGTGTTTTTTCCCCTTGTTGTATACTGTCTAATCAGATCCAACTGGCACAGGAGGAGACTGCCCCTCCTTCTCCAGCAGAGCATCTCGTGGATTTGAACCATGTGCCTTCAAGATTGCAGCACAGCTTCTTGCCATGAGGCTGTCAGAGCTCCCTCCTATTCATTATGTTTTATAAAATGAATCATTTTCTAATTATGCCTATCAAACATTTTTTAAAATTAAATTATAATTTAGAATAAAATTTTATAAATCAGATTTGTTTTTCAATCACTTGTAAACATTTTGTTTTAAAACATTAATTACCACTGACTAGGGTAATAAATTAATTACCATGACATTTTGACTTGATTTTACAACTTTTTATTCTCATTTTTAACCTCTACCATCACCAGTTTTCAGTGTTATGATAAACATGAAAGTGTGATCAGGGAAATTTTTCCCTTTTTGTTTACTAATCTATACTCATGCTTAAGAAATTGTGGTGATCATGGGTCTAAGTTACTATAAAATCTGGCAGAACTGTCATATAATTTATACAGCAAAACCAATAAAAGTTGGCACTTGTGCGAGGCAGAAATCTGTCATAGAAGGAAATAAAGAATAACAGAAAAGTATAAAAAGAGCACTAATAAAGAGCAGCAGAAAAATAGAGAAAAGAATAAAGAAAAATAAAACTGTACCCAGTCAGATATAGAAAACTTTTGAGAGCTAGAAAAACAAGATAGTCCTATTGGGTCCTAATTGATAGGTTTCAAACTTTAGGGAAGAATCATTATTTGTTACTGAAAAGAATCAATTTCACTTCTAACTTGCAGGATCTTGTTTTTAACATTCTACCATTATCCTCTGAGCATAACTTACATGTATTCCCTACTGTTGGTGAACTACTTACATGTGACTCGGTAGCCTATGATATGGAGATGTATCAGGCTAGTTCTGGCATACAGTATTCACTGAATAAATGAAATAATGAAGACTATAAGAGGCACCATAATGCACTATTAGAGTACTAGTAATAACCATATAAATGCAGCAAAGACACATATCCTATAGAACAAAGCAATTTATCATTCTGTTGTACATAAGGTCGCCTTGAATAGGAAGGGAAGGGGAGGGAAGAATATGTACAACAAAATAAACAACGTTTTTAAATTAAAAGAAATAAGCCTTGGATTTAAAAACCAGTAGGGAACACAGCCATGACTAAAAAGGTTTGCTCAGATGGTTATCTCTCTTAAAACCATCATTTTTTAATTGGACAGTCTATGAAAAAAGCAAGAAATTGATGGTGACCAGAGCTAAAACCCAAGGGTATTCTTCATACATCTATGTAACAAGGTAATGCAAACACATGTGTCTACTTAGAGACTCAGTTCATTACTGTACCTCACTATGAGATGAAGAGTTGTCAACCAGCATCACATGGACCAGTCTGGGATCCACTGACTCGATCTCACCACTCTAGGATAGGAGCAAAATAGCAAAGAATATACAAAAAAGGATAAAGATATTTAGAGCCTTGTTCAAGGAAATAATTATCTATTTTTTCTAATCTATGTCACTGTCTTAATTTCCTCACTAGAATAAAAGGTCCATGAAAGCAAAAATTTCTGCCATCTCATTCACTGCTATAAAAGCAACAGCTGGAATATGATTGGACTATGGTAAGCACTTGAGTATTTATTTAATGACAGACAGGAGAATAGAGTTAAATGTCCAATGTGTCTTTTAGGGATGCTAATTTCAAATTCTCTATTTTTAAAACCTATTTGTGTATCCTAGATGGAAGAGTAGGTGGCGATCTATAGCAAGATGCTCTGCTAACTGAAAAGCTGCCAATCTCTAGTGGTTCAAATCCACCAGTTCCTACATTTCAACCCAATAGCCACTCAAGGAAGGAAGGTGGGTAAATTCCTCTCATTATGATTACAGCCTGGGAAACCTGATGGCCACAATGATCTGGAATAGACTCAACAGCAGTGAATGAGAACAGAGAAACTAAAAATGTGCACAGCCAATAATCATTCAAACAATTTTAGAGTGCCCATTTAACAGAAAATATCAAGTGTAATATGACAAACCAAAAATATCTAGGAATTTGAGCTCTAGTGGCAAAAAATATCTAGAAATTTACTCAAATAAATATGTGAAACAAGGCAGTCACGTGGTTCAAGGATATTCACTGTGGTATTGTTTATATTAGTGAAAATGCAATGATTTAGAGGTTAGCCAATATTAGATTAAATCATGGTACAACCATTCAGTAGAACATTATGCATTTATTTAGAAAGGAAGAGGCAGCTCTCTTTGTATAGAAAATTATACAGAAAAATGACTGTAGTACACAATTTGGTTAAAAATGTATATTACATAAGAGTATTTATCATATGCTACTAATATGATTTTAAAGGATCTCTGGTGTAATAAATAGTCATAATACTCATAGTAAGTTAAGTATTAGTCTGCTAACCTCTGGTCTTAACCAAAAGCTTAGCAGTTTGAACCCACCAGCCACTTCATGGGAGAAAAATGAGACCACCTCCTCCAGTTAAGATTTACATCCTCAAATGATCCTACTGATTGGAAACAACCAGAAGGCATTGGTTTGGTTTTGTATTATAGACAACTTTAAGAGTCTCATATATATATATATATATATATATATATATATATATATATATATATATATACATATTTTTCAGAAAATATCTGGAAAAATATTAGATATAAACTACACCATTAATGGTGGTTATCACTGGGGAACAGCATTTGCTTACAGGAAGAACTGGTTTACACCATGGACTTGAAACATTTATATATTGTTTGAAATTTTTAAAATGAAAATTTTAATAAATTTTTTAAAAATGCAATAAAACATAAACAAACAAATAAACCCTTATATGTATATCACATGACTGCTAAACTTGTCTCAAAATATTTATCTCCTGTTTTTCCTAGACAATTAATTCTCCATATACCTCTCGTTTCCATATTTGATTTATTTTATTAGAAATGATTAAATTTTAGCAAACAACAAATGCTGAATGCTGGCTAGATTGTGGAGAAACTGGAACCTTGATTCACTGTTGGTGGAAGTGTAAAATGGTACACAGCCATTATGGAAGTCAGTATGATGATGCTCAAAAAGTTGCAAATAGAAATACCATTTGACCCAGCAATTCCACTACTTGGAATATACCCCAAAGAACCCATAACTGCCACCCAAGCAGATATACGCACACTCATGTTTATCACAGCTTTGTTCACAAAAGCAAATAAATGGATAGAGAAGCTGTGGTAAATGGATTACTACGCTGAATTGAAAAACAAG